AAGTCTCACTTTTTGGACTGTATGTTGTAGTTGACAACAAAAGTGTCAAATTCTTTTGGCAAGAAAGCAAAAATCAGATGGATAAGGAACTCTTCCTTGAGAGCCAGATCCATTGGTTTTAGCTTGGATGCCAAATTGCTCATCCTTAGTATGTGCTCTTTTATGCCACCATTTCTAGAGTACCTCTCTGTCACCAGCTGCTTTATCAGCTGGGTAGCATATGTCTTTGAAGAGCCAGTGAACTGACTCTTTATTCTATCAAGGTATTCGGTGATAGTGTCACACTCTGGGATTGAGCCCACAATTGCAGGCTCAATCGTGTTCTTTATCATAGCCATACATTTCTTATTGTCAGTGACTCACTTCCTATGCTCAAGGTCATAGGACATCTTTTGGGATGCAAAATCCCTCTCTCTAGTTGCCCAAGCGGCATCAGCCTCATTTGTCTCCCTCACCGGTGCCACAGGCTCAGTGGAACACGGTGAGGTGACTACCCAGTCCACCTCAGCCAAGATGAAGGCCAAGTCAATCTTTTTCTTCCACTCCGTGTAGTTGTCACCTTTGAGAGTGGTGATCTCTTTGATACAACCCATCAAGTTGTATCCACCTGAAAACACAATTCATATAGAGTGAGAACATAAACATAATAATAACAATTGCATGCCTTAGTTCCAACGTTGGTTAAAATTAAAACATACAATTGTCCTCTACACTAATTCTACATCACCGTTGGGCAGAAATAGAATTAATGCATGACAAAACTCATAAATAACATCATAATATTGTCATTAATCAACGTTGGTCAGAATAATAACAATATTATAATAAACTAAAAACATATCCATTTTTCAAAATTAAATTCTCCCGTTGGTTCGAATTTAATAATGAAAATAACAACTTTAAATACGCAGCGGAAAGCGTAAATATTCTCATTATTATTTTTCCAGAAACTTTATAGTACTGTACATTTCTCTGAACAAAATTGTCGTTGGATCAAAATTGTGCAGAGTTGGACATCAAATTTCATTTGAAATTCATCAAATATGTATCAAAAAGTTTCTAGAAAAATAAAATGAAAATAAAATCTGTTTCACTGTGTATGTGGCCATTTCGGCCCAGTAGAGCAAAAACACGGCCCACGGCCTAGCTCGCAGCCACGCTCCCCCGCGTCCCAGCGAAATCGGCCCGGCCTGCTCTGCTGACGCGCGCGCTGTGCCTCCTAGGCCGCAACCTAGGCCTAGGCCGGCAAAGCCGCCCGCCCGCGCGCTCCGTCCTGGACCGGATGCCGGTTCGATCAATGTTGGCCGTTCATCTAGATCCGACGGCTAGGCGTCGACTTCGGGATATCAAAAACCCCCGCAGGCCGTCGTTCCCAAACCCTAGCGTCATTCTCTTCTGCCCTTTCTCTCTCTTCGCCTCTAAAAGGTCCTAATGGCTAGAGGGGGGTGAATAGCCTATTAAAAATTTCTACAACAACACTTAACAAACCGGTTAGACAATTATGAGGCAAAGCAAGTGTTGCGCTAGCCTACTAAAATTGCAAGCCACCTACCACAATTCTAGTTTATATAGTTTCTATCCACACAGTAGCTATGTGACTACACTAAGTTAGTGTGCTCTCAAAGGCTAACTAAATAGCCACACTAACCAAACTAACAAGCTCTCATAACTAGCTACACTAAAGAGCTTGATAACTAGTTTGCGGTAATGTAAAGAGAGTGAGCAATTTGTTTATACCACCGTGTCGAGCAAGGAGCCAATCAATCACAAGAATGAATACCAATGAAGACCAATCACCTCGGAATCAAATGATGAACATAATAATTTTTTGCCGAGGTTCACTTGCTTGCCGGCAAGCTAGTCCTCGTTGTGGCGATTCACTCACTTAGAGGTTCACGCGCTAATTGGCATCACACGCCAAACCCTCAATAGGGTGCCACACAACCAATACAAGATGAGGATCACACAAGCCATGAGCAATCCACTAGAGTACCTTTTGGCTCTCCATCGGGGAAAGGTCAAGAACCCCTCACAATCACCACGATCGGAGCCGGAGACAATCACCAACCTTCGCTCGTCGATCCTCGCTGCTCCAAGCCGTCTAGGTGGCAGCAACCACCAAGAGTAACAAGCGAATCCCACAGCGAAACACGAACACCAAGTGCTTCTAGATGCAAACTCTCAAGCAATGCACTTGGATTCTCTCCCAATCTCACAAAGATGATGAATCAATGATGGAGATGAGTGGGAGGGCTTAGGCTAAGCTCACAAGGTTGCTATGTCAATGCAAATAGCCAAGAGAGTGAGCTTGAGCCGACCATGGGGCTTAAATAGAAGCCCTCACGAAATAGAGCCGTTGTACCCCTTCACTGAGCACAACGCGGGGTGACCGGACGCTCCGGTTATATTGACCAGACGCTGGACCTCAGCGTCCGGTCACACGATACGTGCCACGTGTCCCCTGTGTTCACATGTCGATCACCCGATCTCAACGGTCAAGTGATGACCGGACGCAGCAGCTCAAAGTGACCGGACGCTAAGCCCCAGCGTCCGGTCGTTTCCAGTAAGCATCCAGAGACGACTTTTCCTGATTGGACGCGTCCGGTCATGCTCGACCAGACTCTCCTAGCGTCCGGTCACACGATGACTCTTATGTGCGCTGCCACATTAGCAGGACCGGACGCACCCCTCCAGCGTCCGGTCAGTAAGTGACCCAGCGTCCGGTCAGAGACCGACGCCAGCGTCTTCGTGCTCCACCTGACCGGACGCGCCGGTCCAACCGAGGCCAGCGTCCAGTCACTTCCAGTGACCTCCGTCTTTTCTGTCTAGGGCGCCGGTGAAGTTTTCTACCCTTGCTCAAATGTGCCAACCACCAAGTGTATCACCTTGTGCACATATGTTAGCATATTTTTACAAACATTTTCAAGGGTGTTAGCACTCCACTAGATCCTAAATGCATATGCAATGAGTTAGAGCATCTAGTGGCACTTTGATAACCGCATTTTGATACGAGTTTCACCCCTCTTAATAGTACAGCTATCGATTCTAAATGTGATCACACTCACTAAGTGTCTAGATCACCAAAACAAAATGGCTCCTACCATTTATACCTTTGCCTTGAGCCTTTTGTTTTTCTCTTTCTTCTTTTCAAATCCAAGCACTTGATCATCACCATGGCATCACCATCATCATGTTATGATCTTCATTTGCTTCACCACTTGGAATGTGCTACCTATTTTATTATCATTTGATAAACTAGGTTAGCACTTAGGGTTTCATCAATTCACCAAAACCAAACTAGAGCTTTCAGCCTCTCTTCTCAGCGCAGCGAGCAGCAACCGAGCGATGAGCAAGCGATGAGCAGTAGCCATGCCCCTTCGCCGGTGCGTGCGTCCACCCGTGGGTGAGCGCACCGCTGTCGAAGGGCGGCGCTGCGGTGCCCTTAACACCCGAGCCCGAGGCGGAGCCACACGGTGGCGTGACCTGCCCTGTCAGCGCCTCTGGTTCTTCCCGCGCGCCGGACATGGAGATGGCCGGTGGCGAAGACGAGATGGCCGGGCCCCAGGTAGGAAGCCCCTTCTCTACCGTCCCCTTTCTCTTTCTAGGGTTAGGGTTTCGTTAGGGTTTGAATTAACCCGATTCAGTTTTTCTCTCGGTTTTGATTCGAGATCGGCGAGATAAGCCCCTTCCCCTCTTCCCCTTCTTCTCTTTTGGATCTTGTTTCTCTTCTTGGGTTTCACCGATTGGGGTTAGGGTTAGGGTTTCACTGTTCTTTTCTTGCCGCGCGCCGGCGAAGACGGCGGTGCGGCACCTTTCCCCCCGCGCGGTGGCGGTGGTGACCGGCAGTTGAGTGATGCCCGCCACCCCCTGATCTCTTTTCATTTTCTTTTACCCGGTTAGGGTTAGGGTTCGGTTGAACCCTCTCACTGTGTTTTCCGTTCACCCGATCTAGATCTAAAAACCCTAGAAGACCTGGCTCTGGTACCATTGTTGATCTATTCTAATCACATGGTCATAGATCTAGCCGGGTACATCTTGTAAATGAATAGCATGTTCTAGTACGTGAACTAGACAGAGATTAGAGAGAGTAGTGCTAGGTTACCGACCATCGTAGGGTTTCGATCCAGCGGCGTCGGCCATAGTCGTTGTGTCGGTGTCTGCGCGAGGGCAACGACGATCGGTGAAGACGGTGACGGTGATGAGCGGTGGCGACCGGCGGTGAAGACCGATGGCGGTGCAATGCAGTGGTGGAGGTGCTTCCCGTCACTGGCTGCGCACCCTCTAGATCGGATTAGGGATTTCAGTGGGGAGCTCGACTCAGGCGAACCTCGTACTCAGAGCTGTCGGCCCCCATCTCTATTTATTGTGCAGTGTGACAGGGGCCCTCCAGCCATAGTGGGCTGGGCGCCCCCGATCAGGGCGCGGATCAAAGGCCTAACTAGGCCGTTGGGCCCAATTTGGGATTCGAGATCAATCTAACAAAAACTATCCTGGGTGGGAAATCGGTTTGTTCCTTTGATTTTGAAATCAAAGGGATTGAGAACGATTGAGAGGATTAAATCCCCTGCAAGTCAAAATTCCCTCAACCCCACTCAATCGCCTCCAATTCCTTTGATTCCCTTTGATTTCTAGCACAAACGAATAAGGCCTGAGCTGTCGCTCGGTTGGACTTTGTTTTGTCACTACCTTAGATATATACTCTCTCTATTCTAAATTATAAGTTGTTTTAGTTTTTTTCTAGATATACATAGTTTTTTATATACACTTAAATACATATTATGTCTAGATATAAAATAAAATAGAAATATATTTGTAAAAAATTAAAACATCTAATAATTTATAACACAAGCGGACCAAATATACCTGACAGCAATACACCAGCACAGCATATTGGCCCATCAAGGCTGGGACTACCTTACTAGGCCGCCGTATACAACGAGGCTGCTCGATACCCTCAAAGGCTTGGGCCGTAATTACAGAAGAGAACATGGGCCGTCCGGTCACTCGTGGGTCTGGCGGAGAAGCTCCATGGCGCGGCGCAAGGCGCCACTGAACCGGTGGACATCGATCGTCACGTTCTGGCCCACCAGGTACGCCGCCCGCAGCGCCATCCACCCCTCCCTTCTCACCGCCGCGGGGTCCCTCAGCACGCGGTGGTCGCGCGGGTACTGCCTCGCCAGCGTGCTCTCCTCCACGGAGATGCCGTAGTGCACGTACCTGAGCCCCGCGTCGCGCGCGGGCGCGCCGAACTCCTCCGTGGCCATCGCGTCCAGCCCGCCCAGCGGCACCACCTGCACCACCACGGCCCCCGAAGGGGAACATCAGGTTCGCCAGCCCGGCGCCGTGCACGCCCACCAGCACGTCGCACGAGTTCACCACCCGCGCGAACGACGGCAGGTCCGCGTGCCGCGCCGGCTCGCCCACCACCACCTCGAACCCGAGCGCGGCGGCGGCCCGCGCGATGGCGCCGGCGTTGGTGAACGCCCGGGTCGACTTCCGGGAGATGAGGAGCAGCCTGGGGCGGACGGCGGAGGAACGGTTGCCGTCGCTGAGACGGATGGCCGTGTCCCGAGTCAGGCCGTAGGATCGTCGGGCGAGGAAGGTGAAGTCGGCCATGGAGTACTCCACGGCGGTCCTCGCGGCGTCCACGCTCATCTCCTTGTGGAACTCGAGGCCTAGGATCACGTGGGGGTAGCAGAGCACGCCCCTGCTTCCCCTGCCCATGTCCACTACTGCGTGCCGGGAGAATCCAACGAGCAGAGGCCGGAACTTGTCGAGCCACCATGGCTGGGCGTTGCTGACGAGGAGGTGCACGTCGCCGCCGAACCGGCGCGTGGTGATGAACAGCGGGACGAGCACGTCCGTCAGGTCGTGGAACATGTTCCCCGCGTAGCCGCCGACAGAGAATACGACCGCCGGGGCGGTGTGGATGGCCGTGCATCGGGGAGCAGCGCCGGCGGTGTGATGCGACGACGCCACCGTCACCTCAGTGACGCGGGCGAGCGCGTGCCGGTCGTTCTTCCTGCCGTGCGGCTTCATCTTCCATGATTGACGCCTCGCCCACGGATGGCGGACGACGATGGTGGCGTTGGGGAGGACGCGGACGTCGCCTTTCAGCTCGCACACGTCGGATCTCGAGCTCGAAAAGTCGCACAGCACGGGCCCTTTGTTTCTACCTGCAACATTATAGACAAGAGCTGAGTCTTCTGGCCGACAGCCCGTTCGCTTGCTCGTAAACGATCGTAAATTTCCAGCCGGAAACAGTGTTTTTCTCTCACACCAAATTAGACAGCAGTAAATAATCCACGATACGATACGGCCTCCCGAACAGGCTGAATTTGTCCAAGCTTCTTTCTGTTTGATCCTCTATCTCGAGTGAGTGAGGTTCCAGGTCAGATTGCTTGAACATATGCGTTAATGAATCTATACTGTCAACTTCTCTGAATGCTTTTTTTTTTTGTCTGAGTGACTGAGTATGACATATGCTTTGACATACCGTAATGATGAGAGCCTAATCTTTCCTCTCCCCACATTACTGAAGTAGCCGGACCTACTGAAAACAACAAGCTCTCACTGCGAACACAACGATAAGAGAAGTCAAATAAGCATCACTAAGGTTAAGAGTCAGGGTTAGTGCAAGAACTTACATGTTTGCAGAGGAACCGCGGAATGCCGGAACATTGTGGCAAGTGACATCGGCACAAGAATGCATCCTGCAAGAAGCACCAATCCAAACCTGACAGTAAAACTTTTCTTCTCGCATGCCATCTTGTAATGCTAAAACCTTCATCTAATGACCGACACACAGAAATAGTAAGGCCATCCTTGAGTAGTTGCCATGCTTTATATTCGTTTCCATCTGACATTAGGAACATTCTGTTGTTCCTCTGTTAGAGTGTTAGTTCAGACATCTGGACTAAAACAAGTGGTGTTTGTTGAGAGATTCTTCAGGCTCCAACAGCAGAATAGGAAGCACAGCTACTGAATGGGTTCTCGTGCACAGTTAGATGAGCAAACTCCACGGAGAAAAGAAACAAAAGCAAACTATGTGTCTCGCTCACCTTTTGGTTTGGTAGGAATGTGGTTAGTGCGCACTGCTATTGAAAGTCTGCATGCTTGTTACAGTAGAAAGCAAAATATTGCAGAAGACGCTCTCAAACGAGGCAGAGTTTTGATTACTTATCAGAGGGTATCCGCAGATAAAAGTAGGATACAAAATTTCAAATTAAACTATTAAATCACTGGAGAACATGCTTTTTTCAAACTCAAACTAAATCTAGTATAGGGAACACAGGATGGTGCACAGCCAAATCAGAACAAAATAACAATAAATCTGAATGGGTACCTGTTCAGAATTAGTTGCAGTACACATGAACCAGAACACGATAAAAAGGTCATCATCAGTGGTTGTTAGGTGTTAGACTGAAGAGAGAATTGTTCCAGTTAGGTGATCCAACTCTTTTTTAGTGAATAACTACATACATGGGGGTTTCTACTCAGTCAAATCCTCCTTGCTAAAAACTGAAGCAACATATGATCTGAGCAACAAAGTCTGAAAAAGTGTGAGCAAAATGGAGAGAGTATAGTGTCAGATCGTTGGGCACAACCTGTGCTTTTAATTTAGCATTGTAAACCAAGAGTGGCCTCTTACCTATGTAGGAAATAGTAACCCAAGAGGGGAAAATGTTTCCATGTAAATACACTATTAAATACAAAAAATGATGCATGGCAGTAAACTGCAAGTGCTAAAAAACAAATTTACAGATTTGTCATGTCTCATTAATCTCTATAAACTACTCCTGACTCATAGCGAGATAAACGGAAAAGCAAGAGCAATTATCAGGTCCTTGCCTTTTGTTGATCTAAGATAACATTCAAGATCCTTCCAGGCACATAAATTCTCTTCCTGATGCCTTTTCCATCAAAATATTTGGAGAGTTTCTCATCTGAGGCTGCAATTTGGAAAACATCATCCTCAGAGCACGCTTTGTCAACAAGGATTGTACCCCTGGTCTTTCCATTGATTTGGACAGGGAGTACAAGCTTTGATTCCTCCAGGTACTCACTTTTTGCCTGGGCAAAAGAAAAATGGCTCAGTGTTGTTTTATATGCCATAAAACACAATATTTCATGCATGGGCGAGATGCATCATTGTAAAGTACTCTTTAAGGCATCATGGTAGCAACTGGTAGCAAATCCTTGTCACGTACTGTAGGCATACTATTCCCACACAACTTCTTTCTTGAACATGCAGGAAAACACTGCAGTGTCTTCTATGCTTATTCAGATTAGGTTGTTTTAGTACCTAGCAACCATGAACAAGCAGTACAAACATTCTGACTAGATTTACATCTTCGAAAGAATCATAAATGTATGTCATTCAGCGACAAGGGGTGATGTGCTGAAGCAGGATAGGTTTAATGATACCTCTGGAAACTGTTCATAGGCCAATGATTGTGGATGTCCGAGGCGAAACCAAAGCTCCTCAGCCAAGTGTGGTGCGAAGGGTGAAAGCAGCAGAACAAAGGATTCAATAACAGTTTTTGGCTGGGTTTCCCACTGTAAAAGAAAATAAGAGTCACATCATGTTCTTCCGTAAATCATGGAATATACAACCTTAGCTAGTTAGCTCCCTCTCTATATAAATGCATGTCATTTTGGACATGGCATGATCCAATAGAGCCAATGTTGACTAGTAATTTCCATTGTGTAAAAAGGAATAGAGCAGAATGGAAGTACTTGACGATGAGGATATTAGTTTTACTTGCACTTGGTCAATCCAAAATATTTCTAAAGTCTAATATTGCTAGAGAAATTAAGAGAAGTTTGGTTTCACCTTGTATGCAGCATTCACAAACTCCATCATTGCAGATATTGCAGTGTTAAATCTTGTTTCCTGAATTTCCTCCGCGACCTATACAAACCAAAATACCAAATAATACATCAGTCAGTCATCAGCCACAATTAGTCAATCACAACAGTACAAAAAATGAAAATGATCACTAACAAATCATGTTCTGCATTATGACTACACTGAACATTATAAAACATTGAAATAGGAGGGCAAAACTGTATGTAATTACAATTCTATTTGTGTCAATCCCACCTAGGCATGGGCATAACTTTTCGCATGGAAACTGATAAATAAGCATAGAACTAGCCACCTCTATTATTGGATCTAATAAGTATAAAATTGTAGAGAATTAGGGAACACCTCACACCTATTAAGGGAGGGGTGACTTTCATATATATAGTCAAGATACAACTTGGAGTACAAGTAAAGTACATACATATCTCTAGACTATACATATCTCTAATAAAAAGTAACTAAAATGGCAGGTTGAATAAGTTGTGGGATGACATAGTGTGTATCCTACTATCCTTACTACCACACATCAACCTGAATGTTATAAGATGGGCCTGATTTTCTCTTATTGTGTACTTGAAAGTTATAGGACACCCGTGTTATGGCTAGGACGTACTGCACATGTGAAGTATTCACATGAATAGTAGCAATAGCAGTGCCGTGGCTTGGAGGATGGTTTCTTCATCACCAAGTTTATATATTCCTAAATAGCTTCATTAGTTTCCTTTGTAGAGAACTAGAGATCATGTTAATTCATTTACATTCGAAGTTCCTAAAGCAACGATATACACGATAAGTTAGGGGGAGGCACCAATTGAAGAAAAAGCTTGTCCAACATGGCAACATCAATTGAGATGGTTTAGACATGCCTAACAGAGGCCTCAGAGGCACTGGTGCATAATGACATCCTAAGGTGTGCATATAACACAAGAGGCAGGGATAGGCTAAACCTGACATGGAAGAGGCAGTGAAGGGAAGACATGAGAAAGAATATACCCAAAGAATCATCTTTGGTTGTAAAAGTTCACCGCAAATAGCTGATATGCTAAACATTTTGCATGGTTTATATTTCAGAGTGCATGAGCGAAAAGAGTGTTAACTGCTAACAGTGACAATTGTGACCTACCCTTGCAATACATTTGTGAAGAACTCGAAGCTGATCCAAGGTTGGTTCATCTTCAGTAGTCGTGGTTCCATCATTATATGATCCATCAGGTAATTGTGGACCAACTATGAGTCTCCATGTTCTTCCAAGGAACCGGTGCACACCTTCGATTCCCCCAGTGCTCCATGTCTTTGAATCTCTGGAAGTACCATATATCCCATCAACTTTGTCTAAGCAATTGTACTTCATCTTCATCTGTAAATATTTATACACACCTCAATGGCCCCATGAACATTTCGTACAAGCGAAGAGAATCAGCACCATATTCTGAAACAACATCATCAGGGTTGATGACATTCCCTCGACTTTTACTCATCTTGTAGGCACGAGCATTCAAACGAATGTTTGGATCATCCTTCAGAACATACTGATCTCCAACTTTTGTAACCTTGCAAAAAATGAAGCAGAAAAAAAAATCAAACCCCAAACTTTTATCGCACCAATTGATAATGAACACAAGTACCAGACGCAGACCTTATCTGCAGCTACTTTTTCTTGGTAGCAATCAATCAAACTTGAGTCTGAGTCTGCAGAAACCCATCTGCCTTCATTGTCTCTATATGCAGTATACTCAACCTGTTACAGCATTTATTAGCAGCAATAAAATCATTCATGAACATGTAGAAGTTTTGGCACAAAGTTGTGTCACCTACTTCTCCTAGTATCAATCCTTGATTTATCAGGCACTTGAAAGGCTCTTTAGTGGAGACTACACCCATGTCATAAAGAACCTATGAAACACCACTTAGTTAGAATAAAGGAAGGCCAGACGACCGTATATGGTAGAACAATTGAGAAAACAACTGAAAACCAGATGTTAACCACTGGTCCCCAGATTTTCTAAGAGCAATGAATTTTGGCTAACAGGAGCTAAATTTCTGATGTATATTGGTAGAATAAGGGAGAAAACCATTGAAACCCAGATATTAACCACTGGTCCCCAGATTTTCTAAGAGCAATGAATTTGGACTAAGAGGAACTAAATTTCTGATGTATATTGTATAACTTTAAAAATAGCCAATTCAGGAGTCCGTGATATTAATCAAAACTTCATGCACCAAAACCCTAATCATATTTAAAACTAAGCCCAAGGGGAGAGACATCCTGAAGGCATTGCTTGGTAAGTCGAGAAAAGGCACCTCAAAGCTGGCTCTTACAAATATGGGGACACCATTGCCACAGGCGAGTCTTAGAGTATCTCCACCAATCTGCCAATAATCTATCCCCAATATGTAGGTATTCGGGTAGCCCAATATTATTTTTGTGAATCTTCAATACCCGGATAAAAGATGAGGCCCACAGGTGTGTAGGGAAAAAGATGATGGGCCCATGCTATTGGGGGAGATTGAAAGTTCTAGTTTGGTTTTGGTGAATTCATGAAACCCTAGGTGCTAACCCTTCTACTCGAAGTGATCATGAGATAGGGTAGCACATTCCAAGTGGTGGAGCAAATGATGAAGACCATGATGATGGTGGCGATAGCCATGGTGATGATCAAGTGCTCGGGCTTGGAAAAGAAGAAAGAGAAAAACAAAATGGGCTCAAGGCAAAGGTGAATTCCATAGGGCCATTTTGTTTTGGTGATCAGGACACCTAGTGAGTGTGATCACATTTAGGATAGATAACCGTATTACTATTAAGAGGGTGAAACTTCGTGCGTGAAATGCGGTTATCAAAGTGCCACTAGATATTCTAACTCATTGCATATACATTTAGATTCTAGTGAGTGCTAACACCCTTGAAAATGTTTGTGAAAATATGCTAACACACGTGCACAAGGTGATACACTTGGTGGTTGGCACATTAGATCAAGGGTGGCGAAGTTGGTGGAGTCGAGGAGGTCAGTGGAGCTGACCGGACGCAGGACCGGACGTTGGACCTGTCGCGTCCGGTCGATTGGTGAAGCGATGGCGTGGCCTCGGTCTTGATGACCAGACTCAAGGGGCATTGACCGGACTTCGGCGGAGAAGGCGTCCGGTCAGCCGTGACGACTGTGACGTAAGCTCGAGAAGGAGCGACGACGGCGTGGTCCAGGGCCACCGCTTGACCGGACACGTCAGGTCACGAAAAAGGCGCTCGGGGAGCTCTCTGGAAGTGACCGGACGCCACGTTGGTAGCGCGTCCGGTCGGCGTTAGGCGTCGTGTCGCCAAACTTACGCTCGGCACGCTGCGCGATCGACGCCGCCTTGTGGGTGCATCGTCAGTCATGTTGCCAAGCGTCCAATCGTGACTTAGCCGTTGGCGCTAAGTTACTTGACCGTTGGGATCGGGCGGCGGTGGTTGAACGCGGGGACGCGTGGCGCTTGATCCGCGACCGGACGCAGGGGGCCGAGCGTCCGGTCATCTCTGACCACGCGTCCGATCGCCTCGTGGAGGCAGGCAGTGAGCGCCTAACGGCTCTATTTCGTGGGGGCTTCTATTTAAGCACCATGGCCGGCTCTTGCTCACTCTCTTGGTCATTTTCATTGACATAGCAACCTAGTTAACTAAGCCAAAGCCCTCCCACTCATCTCCATCATTGATTCATCATCTTTGTGAGATTGGGAGTGAATCCAAGTGCATTGCTTGAGTGATTGCATCTAGAGGCACTTGGTGATTGTGTTTCGCTACGGATTTCGCTTGTTTCTCTTGGTGGTTGCCGCCACCTAGACAGCTTGGTGCAGCGAAGATCGTCGAGCGGAGGGTGGTGATTGTCTCTGGCTCCGATTGTGGTGATTGTGAGGGGTTCTTGACCTTTCCCCGGCGGAGAGCCAAAAGATACTCTAGTGGATTGCTCGTGGTTTGTGGATCCTCATCTTGTGTTGGTTGTGCGGCACCCGATTGCGGGTTAGGCGTGTGATGCCTATTAACGCGTGAACCTCCAAGTGAGTGTATCGCCACAACAGGGACTAGCTTGCCAGCAAGCAAGTGAACATCGGTGAAAAATTATTGTGTCATCTTGTCTTCGAGGATTTCATTGGTATTCATTGTGATTGATTGATTGATTGATCATCTCTTGCCACGGCGGTATAAATATCACTACCTCTCTTGTATTTGCTTTCCTAGTGTAGCTAAGCTCTTTAGTGTAATTAGTTTTGAGAACTAGCTTGTGTCTTGTCTGGTGGTTAGTGATGCTCTGTAGTTAGTCTTTGAAAGTTCACTAACTTAGTGGTAGTGACTTAGCCTCTTGTGTGATATAGAGACCATAGATAACTAGAATGTGGATAGGAGGCTTGCATTTTTATTAGGCTAGCGCAACCCTCACTTCGCCATTTAATTGTCTAACATCTTGGCTTAAGTGTTGTTGTAGAAATTTTCAATAGACTATTCACAACCCCCCCCCTCTAGCCGTTAGGACCTTTCAGAGATGCAACTCCCCCATTATTTGAGGGGAGATTATTGGTGGTCACAAAAAAAGGGATAAGTATTGGGAGACTGCTAGAGCAAGGAAAAAACATAGTGACCTCAATATGAGAGTTTTATGGGAATAGGGGGGGTATTGGGGGATATGCTCTTAACCCATACTTTTTGGGAACATACAGCGAGGGGACTTTTTTTATGCGAGAACCACAACTGGAGGACTTAACACCATGCTACAAGTATGTTCTCGGCAAAATCATAGTAATGCAAACATGGTAGCACTTGCACAAAGATATCAACAAATTAAGCTACAAGGTTTGCATGGGACAAGAGAATAACTAATTTCATCACCTTTAACGGAACTATAGAAGGGCATAAACTTGTATTAGAACATAAAAATTACCTTGTGCCAAAATCTTGCATAAAGCAAGTGCAAGACAGAATGTTCAGCACCACCAACGTAGATGTCAACTGGACCCCAATACCTGTGTGATATGAGAATCAGAATAAGTTAGTTCCACCATGTAGCACACCCCTTATTGGAGATGACAGAAGAAACAAGGATGCACCTTTCTTTAGCCTTGTCAACCAATATACTGCAGTTTTTGGGATCCATGAACCTCAAATAGTACCTGAAATAATGATTTCATGACACTAAAGATGTAAGGGCTCACAAGCCACTCGCAAAACCAGAAAGGATATGTTTCAACAGTGTGGGAACAGTTTTCCAAATGACAGTATGATGTTAGAATTTGATGCATTCTTCCATGAGACAATAAGGCTCCTATTATATATTAGAAAAAATTCTCCAAATGCTCATTGCCTCATGATTGTTAGAATATGATAAAAGTTACCAGCAAGATCCAGCCCATTGTGGCATGGTGCTTGTTTCTCTTCTTGCGGGCTTCCCAGATAAAGGATCCATGGTTCTAACCTGGAAAGGCAGTAAAAACAGTTAAATAGTAAATAGATGTGCTCAGTATGTGCAAGAGTAAAAGAATGATAAATGCAAGTTTTGCCAACAGGGAAAGGGGTGAACTCAGAGTGGTAGTTTAACTAAATTTCATGACACTGGTAGGCAGATGTTTCTTGTAGTTTCAAACAATCAATGTTCATGTCAACCAATTGTCTTTCTAACGTGCTAACTAAAAGACATAGTGATGAACAATGCAATGCAGCCCAAAAAAGCGGATGAAATGCAACTTTGGGGACTTGTGTTTGACCCCTTAAAAAAGGCTTTTGGGATGGGTCTTTTATATACAATTTCTAATGCAATTTTGGGATTCACGCAATACAGTCATAATTTTATATTATTTTCTTGCCTTCAAAATTTTCCTTTTCCTATCTAACTCAAGAAGTGTTTGCCACTTACACCCTTCTATATCTAAAACAGCCCAACCTCTATGCTCCCTTCCCATTTGACATTCTGATTTCTTCTTTCATTATGGTTATTTTAGATTTCTAACAATATATTGCCATTGCACAGTAATGTCTCAAACAGCTTAAAGTCATACCCAATTCGTTGCTTTAGTCAAAGGTGGCTCCCCAGTACCAGTCGGAGTAAAATCATCCAATTCAGGAAGAGTTAAGGGCAACTCATCTTCTGAAAGAGGAACCATTTCATTGGTATCATCAAGGTAGCTCACAGGAAAAGGTTCACCCCAATAGCGCTGTCTGGCAAAAAGCCAATCTCGAAGCTTGTAGTTAACCTGATATTCGGTTCTCCTCAATTAAATTCTGATGAAAGTAGTATGCACAACATATTATATGATGAAGCAGGATGAAAGCACCTTTTTCTTTCCAAAACCATTACTCTCTACCCACTCAATAACCTTCTTAGCAGCATCTTGGGAAAGCATTCCGTTAATACTCAATCCAGATGAAGAACTAGATGAATTAATCATGATGCCATCATCTTCATATGACTCCACTGGATCACAATTACCATTCGGTGGACTTACAACCTTAATGATTGGAAGTTCATATTTCACGGCAAATTCATGGTCACGAGAATCATGTGCAGGCACTGCCATGATAGCCCCAGTGCCATAGCTGCAGGGAGGCAGCCAAAGATTAGAATGCAAAAACAGTCAGGAACAATAGTAACAAGTGTATTTTTTTCAAATCTTCCTCAGATATTTATTAAATTATAAAGGTAATTCCAATAGCTTATTGGTCAATTTTATGAGTAGCAACAAAATTCTGCCAGGTGATCAGGTCCCTTACTGGATAGCAAAATTTAGTTTATGGTGAAAACGGAACAATAGATCCAAAATGAAAATGTATGTATATGGAGAACTGAATTAAGCAAACTATAGTAAGACTTGTGCCTATAATATTACATAAGAAGAGTTTTATTACATAGATGTAAAAAACCAAGGTTCTCTACCAAACTACAATAAGAAGCATAAAGTATTTACTAAATAGATGTAGAAACCTAGGTTCTCTAGCAAACTTGTGTAGAGTTTCTAGCATTTGATCTTTCAGAAACAAGATGAACAAAACAATGATAATGCACAAGACAACATCAGAATACACAAGGAACATATGTTGACAAACCTTCCTAGAACATAATCTGCCACCCATATTGGAATGATTTCCCCGGTTGCTGGGTTCTTAGCATAAGAACCACTGAAAACCCCAGTTTTTTCCTTCTGAAGATCAGTTCTTTCTAGTTCACTCTTTCTTGCTGAAAGATCCCTGTATTCCTCTACCTGCCATTTCCAATTAGTCCATAATATACTTCAAATTTTTATGATGCTATAGTTAATTAAGGACAAAAGAACATACATGTGCTCGTTGTTCCTCAGATGTTAGAGATGACAGTAAAACATGCTCAGGTGCCACAACAAGATATCTGCAGCAGAAAAAAAATCATCTCTATATTGTCCATCCGGGTCCATAAACAAGTAATATGCAAAAAGACAAAAGAGAGAGAGAAACCAAAGTACACACGTTGCACCAAAAATTGTGTCAGGCCTTGTTGTGTAAACCAACAAAGTGGCACCTAGGTCATGTCCTTCCTGGTCAACTGCAGAAAAAACAAGCTCAGCACCTTTTGATCTCCCTATCCAGTTTCTTTGCATTTCTTTGATACTCTCAGGCCAATCAAGATCATTCAAATCTTCAAGAAGACGATCAGCATAAGATGTTATCCTCAGCATCCACTGGCGCATTGGCTATACAACAGAGGAAATGGATAGCCGCAATATGACATTTCTGCATATAGGTACTTAGCAACCATGCATTGAAATGAACAAGTTCCGCAGATTCTACAACATACCTTTCGTATAACAGGATAACCACCACGTTCACTCACACCATCTACAACTTCTTCATTCGCCAGGACAGTTCCAAGAGCAGGGCACCAATTGACCGGTACCTCGGCCTGATTGCAAGATATCAATGCCAGCCTAAAAAATCAATGAAAACCACAAATGCAACACTAAGAACATAAAAACAGAATCCTAAAGATGAACAGTACAAAATAGTTTATCACTAGCAATAAAGAAAGTGTGAAACAGGAATTATAACAAATGATAAGCACATTTGTAACCTAAGATTCAACAAGAATGGCAGAAAATAGTATTTTCTGACCTGATAAGCAAGTCCTCTCTTCAACAGTTGAAGGAAAATCCATTGTGTCCATTTATAATAAGCTGGCTCTGTCGTGGAGATTTCACGATCCCAATCATACGAAAAACCTAACGATTTAAGCTGCAAAAATGAGAAAACATCTTCCTAATGAACCACTGGTAGTCAAAGTATGATACATAATACTTCTACTTCTCTTTCAGTAGGTAGAGACATTAAAAAAAGTAAACATGTCTCCATACTTCACAGAAACTACAAATGGAATGGCAGATTAGCGCCTTTTTTTCTAAATGGGAGGACATGGACATTTCTTTTGTGTTTTCTCAAAAGAAAATGTAGTGCATTATTTTTCAACAACTCAACTGTACAGTTGATACAAATCAAACATTGCTCAGTACTGCATGAACAACTTTCAGGCTGATTACACAAAGAAGCACCCCACAAGCATTACAAAAAAGGTCCACAAAAGAGTTATACAGGTTACTTCTTTTTACATCTTATTAAGACCTGCATAAATGGTTATATTGCTCTAGAACACTTGACAGTACCAAGATCATATCGGCACTGCAAGCTTGTCATTTCATAATACAGATCAAGCTCTTTCTCTCTAATACAAAAAAGCGCAGCTCTCCCGTGTTTTCGAAAAAAAAAATACAGATCAAGCATCAGGGCACACTTTTAGTATAGACTAACATGGCTAATGGCAATTGCCCAGTCTTTTTTTTGGCAACCAAGTGGTAATGCAATGATTGAAAAGTGCAAATCATATCAAAGTGGAAATGCATAAAGAAGCATGAGAGCTCCATTTAGTTGCTACCATAATAGCTTCTACATGCTAGAGGCAAAACTTGCAGCAACAATACATATACATGGAGCATATTACCTGTGTGTGAAGCGCCCAATGTTCCTTTCAGTGGTAATCTTAGGGTGGGTTCCCGTCTGTGCACAGAGTACCCATGTCAGATAACTACAGTACATGATAACCCTTTGAGATGGAAGGCTATATGAGGGCATAAAGTAAAGTGAAAGTTCTAAACGACCTCAATAGCGTACTGCTCAGCAGGAAGACCAAATGCATCCCATCCCATTGGGTGCAAAACGTTGAAGCCTTTCATGCGCTTGAATCTTGACAGAATGTCAGTTGCCGTGTATCCAAGGGGGTGCCCAACATGCAGCCCAGCCCCGCTGCACAACATTTTGAAAATAGTTTCAACAACGAGCAACACTGTCTAGTGCTGATTTAGGAAGATTCGGCTCCTAGATAAATCAAATTTAGTGCTAACAAAACCAGGGTGAACTTGAACGACTGCAGCACACAAATCAGCGCGGTGCAAATTAGATGGCCAGAGGGCACCTTGCCTGGGGTAAGGGAACATGTCGAGGATGTAGCACTTGGGCTTTGAGGTGTCGAGCCCCTCGCCGATGTCCGGGGTGCGGAACGTGCGGTGCTCCTCCCAGTGCCGCTGCCACCTCGGCTCGACCTCGTCGAACGGGTACGCCCTCCTCGCCGCCGCCTGCGCCTTCCCCGTGTCGGCCGCAGCGGCGGCGCTGGCACAACAGCGAGCTCGGAGGAGCGGCAGGGAGCGGCAGACGGGGAGGAGTCGGTGGCGGCGCCAGTGATGGCCCGCGGTAACGGCGGGAGGCCGCGCCTGGAGCTGGAGCGGGAGTTGGAGGGGCCATTGCAGCGACAAGGCCATCGGGGAGCGGGAGCGGGAGCTTGAGCTAGCGCCCAAGCCTGTATAGCCCCGGTTTGGGATAAGGTTTTAGAATTTGGTGAGGGGGAGAGCAGGGATGAAAACGGATCGGATACGAACGGATATCACTTATATTATATTTATTTTTATATTTCTGTTCGGATTTGGACATGGATAACGTTCGGATACATATACGAATATGGATTGACTCGGTTATGGATACGAATAATGAGTATCGAATACAGTATGAATCGGATTCGGAGAAGGTCGGATACAAATATCTATTCGAATATTGAGTAAAAGCAGCATATATATATATATATCATACGTGCGCAAACCATTACATCACTCTATGAGTCCATAATCCATCTAGATTAAGCCGAAAGCCTAAAGAATAAAGCAACAAATAAGATAAAGATACAGATACATCATACATCAAACATCATATAAGCACCAATCTTCGCGACATGAGTAGAAATAGCCAAGCTCATGGCTTCATGGGTCTCATGGAGTCATGGTCATGGATTCAAGATCTACAATCCTTATATAGGTCATTTTTTTCATTTGAGAAAGTTTGAACAAAATGTAGTTTAAATTTCACAAGTGTGTGACATAGTTTTAGAAAGTCTATATGAGATTCAAAAATTTGTGACTAGTGTTTGATAAAACTTTCTCAAATGAAAAAATGAGCTATGTAACAATTGTAGATCTTGCTGAGATGATCAAACTTGGTATTCAGAGTTTTTTCATCTGAGGTCATTTAGTGTCTCATTTGAGCGAGTTTGACCAAATCAAATTTGGTCAAATGAAAAAACAACACTTTGACTCTAGTATTATGAACTCTAAATGACTTCAAATTGAAAAGTTTTGAATACCAAGTTTGTTCAACTCATCAAGATCTAAAATTGTTGTTTTGGTAAACTTCCCATTTGAGATAGTTTGGACGGTTCAAATTTGTGATTTTTAAATTTCGATGCTTACAAACTAGTTTTCGGAACCCTAGATTATCTCAAATTGAAAAGTTTTGAATACCAAGTTTGTTCAGCTCATCAAGATCTACAGTCCTTATATAGGCCATTTTTCATTTGAGAAAGTTTGAACAAAATGTAGTTCAAATTTCACAAGTGTGTGACATTTTTTCAGAAAGTCTATATGAGATTCAAGAATTTGTGACTAATGTTTGATAAAACTTTCTCAAATGGGAAAATGAGCTATGTAACAATTGTATATCTTACTGAGATGATCAAACTTGGTATTCAGAGTTTTTTCATCTGAGGTCATTTAGTGTCTCATTTGAGCAAGTTTGACCAAGTCAAATTTGGTCAAATGAAAAAACAACACTTTGACTCTAGTATTATGAACTCTAAATGACTTCAAATTGAAAAGTTTTGAATACCAAGTTTGTTCAACTCATCAAGATCTACAATTGTTGTTTTGGTCAACTTTCCATTTGAGATAGTTTGGACGGTTCAAATTTGTGATTTTTAAATTTCGATGCTTACAAACTAGTTTTCGGAACCCTAGATTGTCTCAAATTGAAAAGTTTTGAATACCAAGTTTGTTCAGCTCATCAAGATATACAGTCCTTATATAGTCCATTTTTCATTTGAGAAAGTTTGAACAAAATGTAGTTCAAATTTCACAAGTGTGTGACATAGTTTCAGAAAGTCTATATGAGATTCAAGAATTTGTGACTAATGTTTGATAAAACTTTCAAATGGGAAAATGAGCTATGTAACAATTGTATATCTTGCTAAGATGATCAAACTTGGTATTCAGAGTTTTTTCATCTGAGGTCATTTAGTGTCTCATTTGAGCAAGTTTGACCAAGTCAAATTTGGTCAAATGAAAAAACAACACTTTGACTCTAGTATTATGAATTCTAAATGACTTCAAATTGAAAAGTTTTTGAATACCAAGTTTGTTCAACTCATCAAGATCTACAATTGTTGTTTTGGTCAACTTTCCATTTGAGATAGTTTGGACGGTTCAAATTTGTGATTTTTAAATTTCGACGTTTACAAACTAGTTTTCGGAACCCTAGATTGTCTGAAATTGAAAAGTTTTGAATACCAAGTTTGTTCATCTCATCAAGATCTACAATACTTATATAGGCCATTTTTTCATTTGAGAAAGTTTGAACAAAATATAGTTCAAATTTCACAAGTGTGTGACATAGTTTCAGAAAGTCTATGAGATTAAAGAATTTGTGACTAGTGTTTGATAAAACTTTCTAAAATGGGAAAATGAGCTATGTAACAATTGTAGATCTTGCTGAGATGATCAAACTTGGTATTCAGAGTTTTTTCATCTGAGGTCATTTAGTCTCATTTGAGCAAGTTTGACCAAGTCAAATTTGGTCAAATGAAAAAACAACACTTTGACTCTAGTATTATGAACTCTAAATGACTTCAAATTGAAAAGTTTTGAATACCAAGTTTGTTCAACTCATCAAGATCTACAATTGTTGTTTTGGTCAACTTTCCATTTGAGATAGTTTGGATGGTTCAAATTTGTGTTTTTTAAATTTTGACGCATATAAACTAGTTTTCCATTTGAGAAAGTTTGGACGGTTTAAATTTTGAAGCACTAAATGATTTCAAACGAAAAAGTTGTAAACAACAAAGTTTCATAACTTTTTGAGATCTACAATTTTTATTTTGATCATTTCTCCATCCAAGGTCGTTTGAATAATATCCGGATAATATCCGTTTGAAAATATCCGGATATATCCGATACTTAACCGGATTATCCGATATCCGCCGGATATCGATGATATTACATCCGTATTTGATATCCGCCTAAGATATCTGTTTTATTATCCGTATCCGAAAAAAATTACGGATATCCCAATAACTATCCGTGATAAGTGTTCATATTCGTTTCGGTTTAATCTGACGGCATTTAATAAATATCCGTACCGTTTTCATCCATAGGGGAGAGGGATGGGGTGGAGAGGTGGCCGGGTGGGGAGAGAGATACGAGAGAGAGAAACAAATTTAACACTTTAACACCCTGTGCGCTTACGTTGAAATTTTACTTGTGCTAAAATATTATGAGAGAAAAACAGTGTTCTATGACTGAAAAGTAGCTCAAACGAACCGGGCATAAATCTCTTTCGAGTTGCTGTATTTTGGTGAGGGAGCAGTTTTACATGTGTCATCATCTATTGTAATTCCACAACAAGGAAATCTACAGAACTTCCCTGTCGATGCAGAAAGTGATCAACAAGTAAATATTTGTAGTTTTGCCGTACGTTGTGATCGGAGGTGGCCTAGCACTCAATGACACATGGTTTATACTGGTTCAGGCAACGTGCCCTACGTCCAGTTCGAGTCGGTCGATGACTTTATTTCTGAGCCCAGGTGCTCGAAGTTTGCAGTGGGGTTACAAACGAGAAGAAGAAAGATGGGGTGTACGTGAGGTCCGGTCGGACTCCTGTCGGAAGGGCCGAGAGTGACGGGAGCCTCGTTATGAGCTAAGTGTTCAAGCGTGTGCTGGTGGTTCTGTGATTGTGTACTAGTGAACTTGATCGATCTAATAAATCTGGAATCACCTTCTCTATTGGGAGAGAGCGCATCCCCTTTTATAGATGAAGGAGATGGTCTTACAAGTAAGAGAAAGAGAGTACGTATGCTTCTAAGCCTTGTTGCCCACGCCGTAGTGGCAGGGGATGATGGTAGGCGCCCACAACATCATTGGATGCTCGGATGCACGTGGGAGGTCGCATCGCTTTGTTCGGCATGATGGATGTCGGTACACTGCTATCTTTATTGATGCCCAGAGGCATGTGAGAAGTTTCACCATATTCACTCGACACGGTAAATGCCGACGCGCACAACACTATCAATGTCCAGAGGCATGTGTGGGGAGCCTTATCGTACGGGAGTTAATGGCATCCACAATACTGTAGGGAAAAATTCGACGCCTACAACACTGTTTGTGTCAGAAAGGTTGCAGAGTACTGTTTCTGCAGGTGCACAAGATACGGTCCCTGGTATCGTGGTTTGACTTGTGCGCCTTGCCTTGCTTTCTCCGTTCGTTCCCTGGTCCTTTCTGAGCGGGCGTCCCTGGTCGGTTGGTCCCAGTCGACTCTGGTTGCGCGCCAATGGAGAAGAGCGATGGAGCGGGGTTTTATGCACTCTTGGGAGACGTGGGGTCGGAGTTGGAAATAGTGCTTTGGTCAGGCCTTCCGATCGGAGAGGCCGCCCAGAGGCGAGCTGGAGACCGAAGTGAGCCCTCCGGCCGAAAAGGTGGGCCGGAGTCGGAAAACGGGCGCCGCTCCTCCTCGGCTATACCTTCCGGTCGGTGATTGGATCGCCCTTCTGACCTGTTGTTTAGATACTTGGGCCGGTCCTATGAGTTGCACGTTGTCTGCTTGGGCCGAGCCTTTATTGGTAAGTCGGTCTGCGAGAGACCCCGGGTTTATGAACCCGACACTCTCCGACTCAGTACAGAAACAAATCATCTACTGAAGTTCAAGAGGATCTAGCAGTCGTCAAATTACTACAGAGAAATTATTTACTTGTCCCCTACGTATACATGTGGTGCCACAAAACTACGTACAGCCTTCTGATTCTGATTCAATTAATAATTCCCGCTCCGATAAATTCCAGGTGTCTGTTGCGGCAGCTGGAAGAAGATCATGGGCTGATGCTGTATGAGACTTTAGTGAGGCCTTTCTTGACTCTTATGTTTGTTACCTGATGGAACATAGGAAATGAGGTCAGCTTCTCCAAGTCCTAACTCCTAAGGTATAAAGAGAAAAATGATGCACAGCATATGTCAAAAGTTCTTTGACTCTTATTATGTCAGTTTATCTGTCCTGACAATTTCTGTGTATGCCAAATTAGGTAGCATGAGTACCATCAAGTCGAAAAATGAGAAAAATGATGCAAATCATAGGAAACGAGGGTCATGAATGCACTAGCAGGACGTGATGTACATTGATGGCTTACTAGAAACACCCAAATGTCCAACTACGGTGCCCTCCACTCAAAATATCATTTGCATCGAATATCATTGTTAGGATTCATTCACAAAAGCCATTCTACTTCCAAATTTCGTGATGGAAGCTATCGTTCAGCTCATGCCCCAGTTTCTAAGACTAGTGGATAATTCTGTAGGAAATTTTGACAGGCCTGGGAAACCCAACTGTGAGAATACTAGTGTGGCATAAATAATAATAATAATTACCTTTAGGCTATTGATGATTGAAATGTCAGCAACATGAGTACCACCGCAAGGACCACCAGGATTATCCCCGAACTTCACAATGCGAGGAGTGCTATCCTGCCATGAAAACATAAGGTCGCGAACAATGTTAATGAGAAACACAAAACTTTGAAAAATAGACATCTACACTAGAATATTCCCGATTAAAATCTAACTATTGATGCTTGATTACAATGATAATTCAAGACGTACTCACACATAGAAATGCAACCTTATGCATTTTTCAGATGCAAACGCACATATACTCCCTCTGATTCAAAATACTTGCTGTTTTAGCCTTCTGAATTTCTTTCAAAATACATGTCGTCCTAGAACTTCTAGGCACTTTTTGCTCTTTATTACTTCCTTTCTTGCCCTTGCTAAATAAATATTATCACTCTCACAAATAAATGAATATCTCTTTCCATTTTGGCATAAATGAAGAGGAATAAGTTCATTTCATCCACTTCCTTAATATCTGTGCACAACTCTAAAACATGTATTTTGAATCGCGGGGAGTATCAATACAGTGATGATGTCAATAAATCAAGAGATAAGAAATGTTTCTGCAATCCTTGAGTAGGAAGTAAACTGGAATGATATTTAATAAAAAGTCATTCAAATGTATACGATCAATGATGCTGGTGGAATGTACATTTCTTTCAAATGTATACAATCAATGATGCTGGTGGAGTGTACATGTAGTACAAGCAAAGATAATGCATCTAAGAAGTCTACAGGACTAACCTTTGAAATGTAGCTAGGCAGAGAACCTCCGCATAATATCGCTGCCTCCTCATAAGGAAAAACAGAAGCTAAGACCTGCAAAAAGGGTGAACACTTAAAGACGACAGAATGGATGATATGCACTTCGACATATTCAGCTTGTTTATCCACCTTCGCTCCTTCTGAAATTAGCCTATTGGCTTCCCTTTCCAGTTCATTTTTCTTAACCTGTATTTGATCTGGAGGAATTACTCCCTTATACTCAACAAACGCTCTACAAAGAACAGAGACACAAAACAGTTGTCTGATCAACAACTGGAATCCAACTAAACTGGCATAAATGCCAGCAGTTAGTTTAAACAGCTGGACCCAAATGCTAGTAATACAAAGAACAAAAGAATAAAAGCACTAAAAAATAAGTAATCATACCCATCAGGAAAATGGTAGCCTTTCCCAGGTTGCAGATGAAAGAGGCCTACATTGTGGACACAGATGTCCAACAAATGCCCAGCAGAATGAAGCCTGTAACATTACAGAGATAGCATAATGAGAAGTAAAGCTTAGACATTCAGAAATAATGAAATGACAACGAGCAGACAGAAACTGGGTGATGAAATGCTGAAACTGCTTATTACACTGAGCATCTATGAGCTGAATACATCACTTCTTACTTCTATAGGCATTCCTTGTGGAAATACAAGTATGGATCATCTGGCCAGGATGTCAGCTATGAAATAATGTTAGCTTCAAGCAGCTTAACTAGTTAATTTGATTGCAATTTGTAAATACAACTTGATACATGGGTGTCCTTAAAGACTCAAAGCTCTTCTAATAAGTAAATGGGAAGGCCTCAAGTACACAAAGGAAAGCTTATATACACAACAGAACCATTCAGATAGCATCACCTTGAATTAAAGCTGCGCCGTTCTGCGTCGACCTCCAAGCTAACGGTTTCCTCCTCTTTAAATCCAATCCCACATCCTTGTTCCGTGCCCTCAAATCTTCCATAGTGGAAAACCTGGGTGCCAATCACAAGATGAGAGAGGCATGGCAAGTTAAAAAATCAGAACTCCTGCGACAATCTCATGGTTCATGAACAAGTTTGCAGCTTTTGTTGCGGATAGCGAAAACCCCCCGGATCCTCACCACTCCGTCCTTCGCCCGCACATCCTCGACGAGAAACCTGGCTCCGCCAGCGGAGATGACGCCCGTGTCCGCCGGTTGGCCGCCGCCCTGCGGGTGGAAGACTGTGGCGTCCAGCACCACCGCTACCCGGCCGCCGTCCTCCTGCGGACACCCGGAGCTTAGCTCAGGCCGGGTCCAGCCTAGGGTTTCGCGCCTACGGCGGAGGAGAAGAGGAGGGAAGGGAAAACCAGGTGGACGGAGAGGACGGTGGCGGAGTAGCGGAGCGCTCCCATATCATCGAAGTAGACAAGCCTGGTGGGGCCCGCAGGCCTCGCCGGTGCAGCCTCCTGCGCCATGTTTCCGTGGAGGCGGTGGTGGGAGACTGGAAGTGATCGCCGCCGGTGACAACTGACAAGGAAGTTCGGGCTGGGGTGAGGAGTACCAGGCAGCGCCAAGTGGTTCAAATCAAACGCGCGAGACGCTCGGAAGACTGAAGATTCTGAAGAAATGAACAAGACCTGAGAGGCAATATATAGCCCGCGGTGACAGAAACTACACGGAAGAATACTTCAATTACGTGCTGTTTAGAAATTTTTTAATGGCGCAGCCAGTCAGATGGTCTCATCATGGCCTGGTTTCGAGGTGCCTTCGTTCTTTGCCCAGTTTTCTGTTTGTCTCTGGACTGTTCTGGAGATAAAAAGGATTTTGCAAGGTTATTGCTGGAGCAGGTTGGCTTTGACGGCTTTGCGACTTTGACTGCCCATTGCCCCCAATAAACTGGGAATTTGGGAAAGGTTAACGCATAGTACCTCTCTATAAAATGCTACTCCTATATTACCATGTGTCTGTCTCTCGCTTCTCGCTTGGTTCTGGAGACGCCCCGAACTTTGACGAACCATAGACATCCCAGGAGCTAACAGCTTCCACCTTCCAGAGTTCCAATCAGTCACCTTCCACCAAGCTTCCACGAAGCTTATCTCCATTACACAACAAGCAGTGGCGGAGGTTGAAACTTTTTGAACTTTGATGTTCCACTGAATAGAAACATGTGAATAGTGCGGAGTTCAGAGAGAGAACTCATATAATTGCCACGCGCATTACATTTCTCCAAGAGTCAAACTCTTTTAAGTTTAACTAGTTATATAAAAAATAGTACGGTACTTATATCTCTAAATATGTTTATTATGAAAGCACATTCCACGATCTATATGATAGTGCTTATTACCCATCATATTTGATCAAATTTAAAAGAGTTTAATTCCTCGATGAGTGAGATATACGCTTATTTTGGGATGGAAGAGGTACTAGTTAATTACAGACACCCTCAACTGTAAAGCTATACAAACAAAAGTGTATCATTTTAATAGAATTTCATTATTCACACCTCCTCGCCTTTTCTCGTTTTTGGAGACAAAGCAGATAATACAAAGATGAACATTAGCCCTAAAAACTAGATACTACATTGTCCTGATCTTGTACAGTGATTATTGAAGAGAACTGAATGTCTGAATCTTCAGGGGACACGCTGACATCTGCACCAGTAAGCTACTCCACCGCCTCTGCCTTGCGCAACAGCGATTTCCTCATCAACATAAAACCAAACAAAGAACGGGTCCTTTGTGCTGGGTTCCCTATCATCATTGCTGCTTCCAAAGCCGATTTCTAGGGGACCCAATGGTCCAACCTTTATGCGAACCTGCTCGAAGATGAATGCGAGTATTTTCTTTTCCATGACAACCTCCTTCAAACGTTAAGCACCCAATAGGGCCCAAATATATGCCATTCTCAATCCGTTTGCCCTGCAGATAATAATTACAGCAGTCATATATCAGATATCAGCACATGTTTGTAAGGTGCAACCAAGAAAACCTATAGTGGACTAACAGTGTACGAATTTGCAAATTTCATATTTAAGGCACATAGAGCTACGTTGGTTTAGCAAAATGTTTGTTGCAGTTGGAAACACGTTCTTTCATGCCTCCGGGCTCAGGATATCATGCTGCAGGGCATCACTATATTGGTACTGCTTGACCTCAACTGGGCATATTGCGCAATGGTGGTCATGTATTGAACAGTGCTTACTTTAGAGAGAAATGTGAACATATGATGACTATAAAAAAAAGATGTCTACATGGATTTCTTGCATTGTTCAGCAGAAAGAACTTTACAGTGGCAGATAAGAAACTGTTTGAACTTTGAACAGACATAACAAATAAACATACTATTAACATGGCAATTCAAGTACTTGATTATTCAGGTACCACTGATCATCAGAGCTATCATATCATAGCATCATCATGAGGAGCTGCCATGAGAAGCTCACCGCAGCATCGAAGCGCTGGACTGCAGTCACTGGAAAATACTGTCCTTTATCCAGCCGACCCTATATATACAGACATTAAATCAATCAATCAAGCAGCAAAACATAGAACTTAATCCATGACCCATTAAACGTATGGGTCTTCACCTTTGCAGTGAAGATAAGCATCCATGTCCTGCCTGGAGACTCAGTACCACCAAGTGTCTCAAAGAATGTCGATGTGTCAAGTTTCGCCTTCTTGATCTTGGACAGCGCCGAGAGAATTTCTGGTGCAGGTACTTTCCTTGTCTTGGCTGCCTTCTTGAGCACCTTCACACTGTCCGTGACAGCCTACTCTAAACCCACATCAAGAAAATGGTTTTTACTAGTTGCATAACAGGGCACCTTGTAAAGAACCATGAAACTTTCAAGAAATTATGAGGCAGTGGCATTAATGGCTAAATGCCTAAATGCTACGTTTCAAGAAATTAACCATGCACATTTTCCCTGTGAATTTAACTAGTACATGGAAAATTTCATTATTCAAGCAAGTTGGATTTTTCTTTCTTTCTTTCTGATAGAGACCACAGATTCAGTGGCAAAAAGTAAAACTGAAGTTCAAGAAATGTGAAAGACAAGTAGTGCCAAGAGTCCAAGAGAATGATGACAGTTTGCACCTTTGTCACTGAGACTGCACCGAAGCAATTCATTAACACAGGTAGGGTAAAAACGTTAGAAATTTAAGCGCAGGACAGCGAAAAAAGTTAAGAGGAAACGCTTGGGCCATGGCTACATCGCGCAACCACAGAGTGGAAAACAGATGAGCAACAAATTATAGGCGCCAGCAGCTATACGACCCCGTGGATACTCACCGACAGAGGTTCCTGCGGTGAGGACGGGGGGGACGACTCTTTCTCGACTTCCGGCGACGCGGCGGAGGAAGCAGCGAGTGATACGCCGCGGCGACAGTTGGGGGAGCCGTGGAGATGCAGCCGTGGCGCGGTCTGGAGTCGGTACGGGAGCGGAGAGAAGACTGGAGCGAAGGCCGTGGAAACTTGGAGCAAGGCTGACGACGCCATCGTCGTCGTATTCGTCGTTCCTTGGACCTTGGTTTCAGATCGAGAGAACGGAGCTGCAACGGTGTAGCGTAGTGCGGGGTTTGTGTGGCGGTTGAGGAATGAGGACGGGGGAGGAGCGCGGAACTCTTGGTCACCATGGCACCGCGCTGACGTGGGCAAAGCTCGGCTCCTTGCCTCAGAGCACCCACGGTGTAGTTCAAAAGCTATCTTTCTAGACTCGTTATCCCTCCGCCCATAAATGTCTATCATTTTCGCTTCTCGATAAACAACTTTGACTAAATATATATTAAAAAATTAATATTTATAATACATAATTAGTATTATTGATAGATATTTGAATCTAGTTTTTTAATAAATTTATTTGGAAATAGAAATGTTGTACGTATTTTATATAAATCGAGTTAAAGGTATCGACACGTAAATCATGACGACAAACATTTAGGGACAGAGGAGTATGGATGAAAACGGATTGGATACGAACGGATATCACTGATATTACATTTTGTTTTCATATTTCTGTCCGGATTCAGATTCGAATACGGATATTGTCAACCATGACGGATAGGATACGATTGGATATCGACGTCATAAATATGCGATTTGATTATTCGGATACGGATACGGTATCGGATGTTGAATATCCGGACTCGGATACAGACAGATTTGAACTCCTCTAAACGGATTCGATCTCGAATACGGTCGAAAAATATCCGTACCGTTTTCACCCCTACAGAGGAGTGTACTACTGAGCAAACGGATCGGATACTCACGGATATCATCGGATACTCACGGAGCCACGAATATTATTGATATTATATCTTTTTATATTTCTATTCAGATTCAAATACGAATCGTATTAGTTATGTCGAATATGATACAAATGGAGATCGATATCATAAATATGCGATTTGAGTATTCAGATACATGGATATCGATATCATAAATATGTGATTTGAATATTCAGATATAGATACGGTCTTGGCGTTGAATATTCAGATTCAGATACAGATGAGTCTAAACTCCTATAAACATGTTTGAACTAGGATACGGTCCCAAAATATCCGTACTATTTGCACCCGGCTGACCTTAAAAGCATACGAGTATTTTATAATTTTAGGGATGGTAGAAAAAAAACCTTACAAATTTAACAGCCTGTTCGGGAGGCCGTATCGTATCGTGGATTATTTACTGCTGGCTGGTTTGGTGTGAGAGAAAAACACTGTTCCCGGCTGGAAATTTACGATCGTTTACGAGCAAGCGAACATGCTGTTAGTAGACTCTGCGCTCCAAATTAGGACATGTTTGGAGCTCAACTTCACCAAAAATGGTTTCTCCGTAGTTTACGCTAATTCATTGCTTTGTTTCATTTGTGCTGATTGTGCGTGGTGATACCGCTATTTACACGAGGGACGGCCGTCTTCCTTGCTACCCACCGTGTTTTTTCTCGTCTAATTTTGCTATTTGTTCACGTTGACGAAAAAGAGAAATCGAAGGGCATACATAAACACCTCATTCGGTCATCGCATAGGCCTCTACAGCTTTCATTCACAAAAAAAAAAAGAGAGGCCTCTACAGACTACAGCTTTCCAGCCTCGCGGGCGTCCAGCGAGATCCGTTGCCGGCCGGCCCCTTCCCTCCCTCCTGGCCGGCTCGCCCGTCCTGTCTGTTCTTCTGGCCACGCGGGTGCGGACCTGCACGCCCTGCAGATCGCCGACCACCCCTCGGCCACCCTCCATGCTCCTGCGGTCCGCGCCGCGCCGCCTCCACCTACTCCGCCCGCACCACCTACGCCTCCTCTCCGCCGCTGTGCTCGCCTCCGCCGCCCCGGCCCAGCTCCCAACCGAGTGGGCCGAGGCTCCGCTTGCCTGCGTCCGCCCGGCCACCGCCGACGCCTCTCTCTTCCACGTCTCGCTTGACCTCTCCGCGCACCGGAGGCTCCTCGCCTCCCACGCCGCCGCCGGCCAGTTCCTCCCCTTCCGTCTCCCCGCCGCGCCATACCCCATCTTCCTCGCCATCGCATCCCCTCCTCCCCCACCCCCCACGCCCGAGGCCCTGGCCGGGTCAGGGTCAGTCCCCTGCTTCGACTTCCTCGTCAAGCGCCTCCCGGGAACCCCCTCCGCGCGCCTCTGTGACCTCCGCCCCGGCGACCTCGTCCATGTTGGCGCCAGCGTCGTCGGCAGCGGATTTGACGTCGCCAGGATAGCCGACGCCCGCGACGTTCTCGTCTTCGCCACCGGATCCGGGATCAGGTGCCTTTCTACCCCTGCCCTTTCCAACCGACTGTCCTTCATTTGTCAAACCCGCATCAATTGCACTGCACCATGCACAGCTGCTCCATTTTAGGTCTCAAATAATCCTCAGTTTGATGCAATTCGGAATCGTGGCGAGAAAAAGGAACAATTACTAAATTGTGATAATCATATGGGGCGAGGGTGCCATCTGGATTTTTTTTTTCAAAAAAAAAAACTCTTTGAAGAGGGCAGGGAGCTCCTGCAATTCACTTAATAAGAAGAGAATTGATCTGGTTATAGGGAAACTGGGCCCAAAACCTTACAGCCGCATGGTTTGTTAGTAGGAAAACCCAGAAAAAAAAAACTAGGCACAGCGCCCCAGACAACAACCCTCCTGCAAACACACAGTGTGTCATCGTTGCCGACCTTGTCAACAAGCAGCTCCGACCTACTAACAGCAACACTACAACAAGGCACATCTAGGAGGAGAAAGCAGCACGTCATCGTTGCCCAGCATCGCCGCACCCCACAGTGAGCACGTCACCATTGCAAGCTCAGACCAAGAGTGACTGCAATGCGCCGCAAAGCAAGCAGTGGCACTGAGGAAACATGGCCTTGTAGAAAGAACCCAGCCTGCAAACACATTGAGACGCCCCACGTGAACCAACTATGCTGGATTATTATATGTATTTATCCATTATCTATTGTGCGAGCTATTTCTGGTATTGCTTCCAACTAATCTTGATCCATAAGTTCCTCCTAATCGCTTAACCAACCATTAGTACTCTTGGACTTGGGAATTGGGATGTAATCAGAACATGCACATGCTCAGTGGAAGATATAAGCGTGAAAAGGCATTAGCTGCAAGATATTTATTAGGTTTTCACTTCTTCAGATAAATAAGCCATTTAGTTGTTGCATGTCTGTTCTATACTGCTACATGCCATGCCAAGCAATTTACCAACAATGCCCTGTTCTTGATTGGATTGCGCTGTCCCTTCGATGAATGAGCAATACCATTCCCATGAATAGCTTTGTCAGATTTATTCAGCTGCAAACATCATTGCCTCTAGAAGCCTGCTCTCTAGATAAGCTATGTCTATGTTATGAAAGAACAGATACACCCTTGTCCTAAGAAGTCTCCATTAGTGTATGGACTATTCAAATGCGTACAAGTACACTTGTACAAGACATGCAGATGTACACACATTGGAATATATAATTATTCTCAGTTTCTCCTTCACATTTGTTCATTGCAGCCCTATAAGGGCACTTATTGAGTCAGGTTTTGCTGAAAACAAAAGAACTGGTGTAAGCCTCTTTTATGGGGTTAGGAATCTTCAGAGGATGGCATATCAGGTAGGTAGGTTTATGTCAGCTTAGTTGTACAGTTTGTATATTGTCATATTCCGTATGTGATGGCTCCTGACTATGTTCTCTGACAGGAGAGGTTCGATGATTGGGAATCCAGAGGAGTTAAAATTGTTCCTGTCCTCTCAAGACCAGATGGTCAATGGACAGGTGAGCGAGGTTATGTCCAGGTGCTGTTATCTTTTGACTCCCATGTTATTTATAGTTTGTTGTGTTTCTGTGTGATATAGAGTTTGTTTTGCATTTTGTAGAATGTGTTCTCAAGGATGAAGAATATTGTAAACCCTTCATCAGTGGGAGCAATTTTGTGTGGGCATAAACAGATGACTGAGGTATGGTAATTTTGCTTGTTTTCCTCTCATTTTTATCTTAGACACTCGCGGTAACTATTAGACACAAGTTGGTAGCACCTTCTACATTCAGCACTTTTTTTTGTACCGATGTGTCACAATGTTCTCTACTTCAACATGTTTTTTTCTCTTCTGAACATGGAAACATTAGAAATGTTCTTATAATAGGGGTCTGCATCAATATGTAATATAGGCTAATTATTGGAAGTTTAGAATTTTTCTCTACTACAAGGTTTTAGTCTGTTCATTGTTAGGCACATCTACCTCGCATAAATCATAAAGTTGCACGCCATTGTCATGTTTTGAACCATATTTTGTTTGTGCTGATCTATAGTTCATGTGTCTATTTTTGGCAGACTAAAATGACTAGAAGTGCAAGTTTTGCAGCACATACATCTTGTAGAAAATTGTACACCTAGTACATTCTTTCCACATTGTTTGATGGTTGTCATTCAGGATTAACACCCATCCAATTTATTTATGATAAATGTTGTCTTCCATGCTTCCTTGCTGATCTTATGTAAATGTTCGTATGATGTAGGAAATCACAAGAGTTCTTGTTGCCGATGGTTTGTCAAAAGATAGGATCTTAACTAACTTCTGACCGCTAGTAGGACACTGTTCCATCCTTTTTTGGAGGCTGTACCATTTTTGTACTTCAATACAATCGAGCAGCAATTCTTTAAAGCAGTCCGAGTGCAGCAACAGGAAGACAGTTGCGTGCTTACAAATAAGGGCAGTTCATTTCCCCTCCATGTGACCACAGTCACCATATTGGCTTATTTTTGAATGCCTGATGTAAATCTCAACTGGCACTAAGCATCTGAACCAAAGGCCCTAGTTGAGATTATTTTGTAGCATCTGAGACATTAATCAGGGGATACAGATGTAAGGCGCTGATGTACAAAGAAAGGTCCTTTTTGAGAGAGAGGGGGAAAAAAAAAAGGAGATAAAGCCTGTTCGCTCGGTCGTATTTGGCTTATAAGTGATGGTTTATCAGCCAACGAACAATATTTTTCTTTCACATCGAACCAGCCAACAGTGTTTTCAGTCATGGCTTATAAGCCAAATCAGTCCAAATGAACAGGGATGTAGCATTATTTTCAGTTAGTATAGATATGAGCGCTGTGTGCCTTTTGCAGCTCTGAGATTTTGGTGTATATTGTCAGAATTTTGTATTAATTGAGTGGAATGTAGCATATCGATGCATGTTGTATTGTTTAATTGAGACACGTTCGAAGCGTAGCCCTGTTTGATACTATGGGGCTAAATTTTGCACCGTCACGTCGAATGTTTGATACTAATTAGAAGTATTAAACATAGATTAATTATAAAACTAATTTTATAAATAGAGGCTAATTTACGAGACAAATATATTAAACCTAATTATTCTATGATTCGTTAACCTGTGCTAATCATGAATTAATTAGATTTAATAAATTTATCTTGTGAATTAGCTATGGCTTATGAAATTAGTTTTATAATTAGTTCATATTTAGCTCTAGTTGACATTAAACATCCAATGTGACCCGGTTAGGGTGGGCGTTCGGTTCTGACCGAAATATCGGGTTGGTTTCTTTGGGTTGTTTTTATTTCTTTCTTTCAACATCATAAACCGAAGTTGTGCCCGATCTATGGTAGACTGACCACTCGGTTTCTCAGTTTTTAATTCGGTTTCTCAGGTTAACCCGAGCAAGATCGATACAGATAGATCTGCAGAGTACAAGACAGGGAGAGGATCCACACAGGGCAAATGCACCACTACAGTAGGACATAATGTCTACATTCTAGCCCACACCCTGTTCTCTTTGTCTAGTCTCAACTTGTTTCAGTTTGTTTCAGTTTATTCTCTCTTACAGAACACTATTGAATCAGTCAAAATAAACCAAAGAGTGGATCAGCCGAACGTCTGGACGAGGTCTAGCATCTGGATGTCTACGTCTGCTTCACATGGGGGTCCGCGCCGCTTTGTGTCCCGCACCGTGCCCCGCGCTGCTATGTGTCCCGTGTCGCTCCATCTCGATATATGTTCGCACGGTTTCCCGCACCTGCCGCTCGCGCCCCCTCCACACCCATGCGCATGCAGGCGAGCCCAGTAGCTGCAGCAGGCGGCTGCTGCAGATGGGTCTAGTGTAACATGTGCAACACCATATCTATTTTTGCAACATTTAGAGAAACATTTGCAACATACGTCTAAAAACACGAGGAAAACACATGTGTAGCCATTGCAAAATATATGCAACTAGATAAAACACTTGCAACATATGTGTGAAACATATGCAACATCCGGATGAAACACTTGCAACATAAGCGTGAAACATATGCAACACCCAGATAAAACACGTGCAACATACGTCTGAACCAGCTAAAACATTTGGAATAGACGCTTGCAACATACGTGTATAACCATTGTAACATATGCAACATCACAATCTACTTTTGCAACATCCACATAAAACACTTGAAACATGCATATGAAACACTTAAAACATATGCTTACAACATGTCAGGCGCGACACTCTAGTGGACGGTGACCACCATGTTTGGCGAGCCTCGAGACGGCTGCGAAGTATGGCACGGCCACGACACCCTTGCCGTCTCTAACCGCAAGAGGAGGTGATGAGGATGACACGGGTGCCGGTGGCGGCGATGAAGGCGGTGGATGTGAAGGACCTTGTACTGGGAACCGTAGCGGAAGCTATCCAAGGATATGAGCAACACCACAAGCTTGGAGGAGCTTGGAGAGCGGCCGCGTAGCAGCGGATGCTGCCGTCACAATGGTGAGGGGCGGGCGAAGCAGGACGAAGGCCGTGGTGGCGTGCGAGGGCCACAGTGAGGATGAGCAAGAGACGGGGGACGAACAAGGGCTGGGGTGTAGCCACGGAGGAGATGAGAGCGACGGTGGGCTATGGCGAGTCGTCGGGGGTCTAGACCACGATTGCGTGGGCGGAGATGCCATCGGCGGGCAGTGCTTTGACTGTAGGGCTTGGGGAGAGTGAAAGTAGACTAACAGTGCTTTGACTGTAGGGCTTGGGGAGAGTGGAAGTAGACTAACAGTGCTTTGACTGTAGGGCTTGGGGAGAGTGAAAGTAGACTAACGTGTGTGCGGCAGCTTGTGGAGAGGGAGATTTTTATTCTGGGAGCTTGTGGAGTAGAAGATTTTTATTTTGGAAGACAACGTTGAGTATCAGATATTTGTAGTGGGTACAGTAAATGGACTTCAACCTTCGGAGGTCGGACAGCTAACCAAGTGCATAGATAAAAAAATCACGCCTCATTGTTAACTCAGTATTACCAAATTTTCCAAGCCAGCAAATATCTTCTAACGTTTCATAGCACAAATCGAAGAAATATGTTATCAGCACAAAAACAATTAACGGAGAACATCAGGAACGAAAAATTGATCTTTCTGTCCTTGACAACAATTATTAACTGAGAACATCACGAACGAAAAATCGATCTTTCAGGGTATCTTCTAACGTTTCATAGCACAAATCGAAGAAATATGTTATCAGCACAAAAACAATTAACGGAGAACATCAGGAACGAAAAAATGATCTTTCTGTCCTTGACAACAATTATTAACTGAGAACATCACGAACGAAAAATCGATCTTTCGGGGTATCTTCAGTTTGCGCTGTCACTTCCAAGGGCCCTCTGGCCATCTTTCAGTACTTGCCTCTTGTCATTAGGTTCTGCAGAGTTACTATGTCTTCCATGGTGGTGCCGATGGTGACGGTGATGGTGGTGACGGTGGCCATTCTTGTGAGACTTTCTGCCATTTCTCATCTTCTCTGATTCACTAACATCTCTATCATCTGATGACTCCAAGGATTGGCTCCTGAGATGCTTATGGCTGTTGGAATCTGACCTTGCATCCTCGTCACTTGATCTCAGACGCTTCCCATGTCTCGACTTGACCTTGTCCGAGTCATCATCGGATGAGCGATGGTGGCGTCTGCGGCTCTGAGAATGGTCCTTGGCAGATTTCTGTCCTTCCTCGTCGCTGCTGTAGTCTTCAGAGTCTGACCTTGAAGAGTGTCGGTGATGCCTTCTTTTGTGCGAGCGCTTCTTCCTTGGACGTTCTTCTTCAGACCTGCTCTCATATTCACTGTCGTTCTCATCACTTGAGTCAGTGCTCCTTCTGGGTCTACGCTTGCATCTCCTGGCATCATCAGAGTCGGAATGCTCATGCTTATTGTTCCTTCTGTGGTCCTTCCTCTTCCTGTGTTTCCGATCAACATCGCTGTCATAGTCACTATCAGAGTCTGAGGAAGAATCTCTTCTCCTCCTGTGTTTTCTTGATTTTAGCTTCTTCACCTTTGCTTCTGCATCAGCCTTGGCCTTAGCTGCTGCTTCTAGCTTCTGCTCCCACTTTAGTGGGGCTTCTTTCTTCTCAAGGATCCTTCTTTTCTTCTCCTCAACCAGCTGCAGGAACCTTTTGGCATCCATCCCGAAAAATCAGATAGCACAAAACCTGTAGGGACGTGAAATGATGCAAGGAAGTGCATCTCATAGAAGAGACAAAAACACTGTTAGTTTTTTGAACGACTGAAACTAAATAGCACACTAGTAAAGATGTAAATCTAATCAGATAGATTGAAAGCTGTCGACAACAAACTTCCATGTACAAACATAACAAAATGTGGTGAATTAATTCCTAACAATAAATTACTTGGAGGCACTTTGAGCTAGTTTAAGCCTCACATGTAACCAAAGTATTCTCAGATAATACTCATGCAGTTCACTTTTTGTTCAAGTCAACTTCCTATGGAGAGTGGCCAATCAATCATGTTCAAAGCTAGATGGCTTCTAAGATTCCAAGCTCATAAAACTATGTTAACAAAAGGGATCTCACAGGTATCACAATTATACGCAATATCCTAAAAAATTACTTCTGTGAGAAAGATACGGCAGACCAAAATCAGTTGCCCTTGATAAATAAAAATTGGCTCTTAAAGATGGTTATGCTTATGAATCTGGGTGCAGCAAAAGAGACACAGACTTCTAATTAATTTTAACTCCGAACATCCTATATTTCGAAATGACAGTAATACGAGCAGACACTGCACAAGCATGAAGGTTATCACTGGGAGAAGCTAAGGCTAATTGCAATCGCCACCAAGAAACAAACACAGAGTATGCACGATTATACACTTTCTTACCTTGTCGTCCAAAATTCCGAGGTCAGGAGAAAGATCCTTCCTTTTTCTTTTGCTTAGACCGCAATTCACCTGCAACAGCAGCCCAAAAAACGCAGTTGGAAAATATGACCTCGAGAGAAAACAGTTGGCAATTTTGAAAGAGGTATTCTCGACTAAGACAAACACATCCGTGCATAAAGACAACGAAGCGTACTCAGTTCCAGCTGCATCCAATTCCAATTCCTAGTACTGGTACATCGCACAACAGAGAGCTAACAAAATTCGAAGCCCATACACCCCGAGAATTCTCGAAAACGCGACAGATCTGAACCAAAACAACAGCCGAGAACCACCGCCCCCCAAACCCTAACTGCACTTTTAAGACATTTTAACCCCTGCAGCTCACAGATCTGGCTGCAGTCACCCCGATCTGGAGCCAACGCCACCACAAGACGCGATCTGAGCCCAAGCGCGCTTCCATCATAGTCATAGCATCAGAGTTCAAAAATTCGACGATTTTTTCGGGAAAAGATTGGGAGAAAACCGCAAAAACCAAGCGGGCAAGAGCGGGACTCACCGTCACCGAATTGGCGAAGCGCGGGTAGGCGGCGAAGGTTCGTGCGTGAAGGTCGCCGCCGCCTAGTCGCAGACTGAGAGAAGAGAAAGGGGACTTGGCCCGCCCGCCGCCGCCTAGTCGCAGACTGAGAGAAGAGAAAGAAAACTTGGCATGTGCAAAGGCCGACTATTTTATACGCAAGACAGCAGGTGCGCATAGTTGCGGCGTCCCAACGGTTGGCTTTCACGGAGTACCTTGTTTAAGTAACCGTTACATTCCATTAACGACGCAAGCGCCGGGACGTCGGGCGCAAGCGCGTGTCCGGACTCACTGGGGCCGTAACAGGAATCATCCCATCCCGACCGATCCATGTAACGATTTAATCAAGAAACAATACGAGCGAACCAAATCCGGGGGGCGTTTAGATACCTAAAATCCAAACTTTGGCATTATACAAAAAGAAAATTTCCCGTCACATCAAATTTACGGTATATATATGGAGTACTAAATATAGACGAAATCAAAAACTAATTGCACAATTTGACAGTATTTTGCAAGACGAATCTTTTGAGCCTAATTAGTCAACGTTTGGACAATAATTCACAAATACAAACAAAACGCTACAATATGCTACAGTGCTGGCACAGTAATTTTGGTTGTCCAAAATCGGGCAACTAAACAAGGGCCCGGACAAGAGTGTCCACCCACGCTAGTTATGGCGGCCCGTCCCACTCCACTCGCGCGCGGCCCGTCCCTGCCGCGCTCCTGTCCCCGTTCCCCATCACGCCCCCGTCCCCCACCGCACCCTTGTCCTCATTCCCCATCGCGTCCCGTTCCCCACCACGCCCATATCTCAGGAGCACGAAACACTTCCAAGTACAACATTGTAAAATTATATAAACTATGTAGTGCAACATCGGAATATAAAAACTGCAACATCACAAAACTATATAGTGCAACCTAAAAAATTATGTATTGTAACATCTCAAATAGTAGTACTGCAACATTGCAAAATCACCCATGAAACATGGAAAATGGAAACATCTCAAATCACCTTTCAGTGCTGCAACATTTGAAAAAGGTAATTTCAACCATTAAAATCGCTTGCCACAACACGTAGGAAAAGTTAAAACTCACAAGTTGCAACATTAGGGGGGAAATACAATCTCAACATTAGAATTGTCTTTTGTGCAACACATGAATCACCTATTGCAACATCCAAAAATCACATTGCAACACGGAGAAACAGCAAGAACGTACCAACAGCAAGGGGATGGGTTCGAGGTGCACGCTGCTCCAGCCCCTGGCCCATCACCTTCGAGCTCACTAGAGGGAGGATGAAATAGGACCCCAGAGCTTGCCGGAGCCCTAGCCACCGACGCGTCCCTCAGATCCAGAGGAGGAGGAGGAGGAGGGCTTAGATCCAGAGTAGAAGGAGGAGGAGGGCTTAGATTCAGAGGAGGAACGACCTACCTCATTGGTGCCCAACCGTCGCCGTCCTCGTCTCCGGTTGGGGGAGCGAGAGGCGGGTCACTGGGGAGCACGGGGTAGCTATGGAGGTCGTGGAGGGGGGAGAGAGGGAGGGAGCGCAGGCAGGCGGTGGGGCGACAACGAGCGGACGGGAGGTGCTAGCAGGACCGGGGCGTGGGTAGGCCGAGCGGCAGCGAGCGGCCAGGGGCACGAGGTGGCAGATGGGGAGTAGTGGTATAGAAATGGCGGAGGGTCGGAGGATCGGAGGAATCGACGTGGACCTTTTTTTCTTCGGTACGAACGTCGTTCTATTGGGCTGTAGGCCCAGGCGCGCGGCGTCCGGATAGGACGGACGCACACGTCCTATCATTATCGTTCCATTAAACCGGGACTACCGCATGTAATCACAAGCAACACCGCAACGGGCATTTTTCTTCCGAAAAAAAAACACGGCAACAAAGCGAAGGATCATATCCTACATTGAGGCTTCCAGCTGCAGACACGGTAGTGAATATCCTACTAGGCATCGAATCACAGCTTCGCTTGACGTTTAATCCTTCGACCCATAAAAAATGTCGCTATAGGATTTATGTTGTCATTATAGAATTTATACTAGTTAAACTTTTTTAAATTTAACTAACTTTGTACAAAATATTAATAATATTTATATCTCTCAATAAATTTATTATAAAAGTATATTTCTATTAATTATGTATCATAAATATTAATATTTTCTTATATATATTTATCATAATATTTGACTTTTTGAGAAGAATGATATTTTTTTATAGGACGGACTGAGTATACGGTAAGCTATCGAACGAATCCAATCATACTGAGTAACTAACCCATCGAGCTATGCGGACATGACGGTACCATATCACCATTGCTTTAATCAGCACTCCTGTTAGGCTAGTCCAGGAATTTCAATCTAATCAAATGCATTGCAAGTGAAGTAGTACTACATGGGAAAACATGGCATTAATTAGAGTTATTGAGAGAGATGATGAAACTAATACACTGTTTCAAGATTTCCAAACAAGTTGAGACCAACATTGGGACGAGTCTCATTAATTTCAACCGACAATGTCCAATCCCGTGTATAATGTTTTGGTAATCTTGGAAACAATAAAACATATCGTCCCATTATGTAACACCCTAAAATTTACACTTTTGAAAATATGATTAAAATGATTTATTTTTGAAATTTTTGTGCTCATAAAATATAGGAAAATAAGATTTTCATTAATTTAAAATTCATCATAAGGTTTAGCAACATGTTTGAGCATACATGCCCTTGCATTTGATTTATTTGGCTGAGTGGTTTTGATTGAAAATTTAAAATGGTTAAAATTGCTTTTGCAAATGAAATTAAAAATGGCTTTGAAGTAAAAGAAAAGAAGGAAAAAGAAAATTTGAGAATAAAAGAATTTAAAAAGGTTGTAAAATTTATTTTTGAGAACTTACCAAAAATTCTCATTTTTAATTAAGTTGAAAAGTGTATTTGAAATCCTATTCAAATTTGATCTGATTCATATTTGAATTCGGTTTGAAAATGGAAAAAAAAGAATAGAAAAGAAAATTTGGAAAAGTATTTTTCATTACCCTCCCCTCCTATTCGGCCCAAAGCCAGCTGCCAGCCTGCACTATTTTTTTTCCCGGGCCGCAGGCCACTCCTCCCTTCTCCTTTCCTCCGGTTGGCAGCAGGCCTAGCGCGCTCGCCCTTGGCCCAACTCCGGCCCAGCCGAAGCACAGGCGCGCCCCTCTTCTTTTCCTCTTTGTTTCGCTGCCATGTGGGACCGCTCGTCAACGCTTTCTCCTACCTCGGGTCCGACTGGGACTCTGCTTGAGTTGGACGCCGCCGAGAGCCCCATGCCACTACAGCAATGCCTTGCCATGCCACCCACGTCGCTCCGTCCCTTTAAAAGCTAAAGCCCATATCGCGCCGCCCTCACCTAGCCGCCTCCAAGCCACCATGCCCGAGCTCTATCACAAGCCGCCGCATTGCTCGAACCCTAGCCGCCGCCGCTGTTGCTCGGTCCGCCACAGAGCCGCTTCGCCGATGAATCAGAGCCTCTGCCCCGCTTCGTAAGACACTAAGGTAACCTCTGTGTTGGAATTCTCTCCCTCACTGATGTTGGGAATCTCTCCCTCACCAGCAAGTGTTTATCGCAAACACTCGCCTGCTCTCTTTGGTAGATACACGCACACGTACAGAATGGCACAAGCTAGCTGTTTTCTTTTGTTGACGCAAGCCACACAACTCCCGTTGCTTTTCATTC